GTTCTATTGGATCCGATAGAACGATGTGTTCTATTGGTCAGTTAGAACGCATCGTTTTATTGGTTAGTTAGAAAGCATTATTTTTACTTTATTTTAACCCTTGTGTGGTGTTCGGGTCTGTGGGACCTGGTTTAATTTTTTACTAAAAGAAAATATATACAATGAATTAATTTTTCAAACTGAGACTCTCTGGCTTTGGCTCATTTTCTGTCAAGAACATATATCAGAATTCATATTTAATGCCCAAGCACCGTACACCCCCCCTACACATTTCTATTACATATAAGATGTTCGGGTCCACTGGACCCGGGGCTAAAAGAAGTGTGGAAATTAATGTTCTGTGAACCACACACACGCACTCACAATGTTGCAACCTTGTGTGGGAACTGCAGGTGCACAAACACAAAAGAAACATATAAGGCACATTGTTTTCTGCTCTAATTTTCTGTCTATCTGCTAAAAATTGGGACCACACTGGCACAGCTTTGCCAGAGTGGTTTCATATAACCGATCAAGAGGGCCAAAAGGTTCTCTGCCCAGAGGGCCCTGGAATTGATTTAGGATGAGAGAGAGAAGTTAAGAAACGGTAAACATCTGTTCAGTATTTTAATATAAAAGTGATTTTGAGGCATTAAAAGCCACAAAATGCAACGGGTCCATCAGACCCACAAACACTGGCTGAGTAACAACAATATGAACACCACCCAAGTGATTAATCTGTTATAGCATGCTTAGAGGTGCATGTGTCAGCCTGCATGTGTCACGTTTTAAAGGAGGGGAGAGTTTTGACACATTTGGAAAATTAAAATTTGCCATGAATTTATAAATGGCGTTCCTTTAAAACGGGAAATGATAAACAACCTGTCAATTAACCATAACCCAGATGTCAATAATCCATTTTATATAACTTTTTTCTACTCTTCCTTCTTGCGAAGTCATCCACTAATTCATCAAAATAAAGCGGTCTAACCAGGTCTGATTCAATGGCCAGAGGTGACAGGGAGTTCAAGCGGTTTTGGCACATCCTAATCCTGAGTTCATTCTTAACACGACTCAGTTTGGAGAATGAACGCTCCCCTTCACAGTTTGTAATAGGTACGGTCAAAAAAAGTTTAAGTGCTATGTAGACATTCGGAAAGGTTAACTATAAATCCAAATCAATTGTGGTTTTGAGCATTTTACTTGGACATTGTTCTTTTTCTCATATGAATGATTTGTATTGTATCAGTTCATCTGCCAGGCTCATGTTCAAATCTGAAGGGTATGCTGCAGCAGTGAGTTAGCCTTTAAAGAGAGCTCGCTATTGGACATATTGTCAGGCATACAATTATCAAATACAGTTATGACACTACATGTGGATCCATCTAGAGTCCACCTCTTTTAAGCATACTAGCTGGGATCCATGTGGGGCCCGCTAAAAGCACCCTTACCCGGGGCATGTGGTAAGTCAGAGGCCCCTGGTAGGGGCCCTCGAAATCAGTCGGAGGGCCCTGGTAGGGCTTCTCGAAATCAGTCAGAGGGCCCTGGTAGGGCCTCTCGAAATCAGTCAGAGGGCCCTGGTAGGGGCCCTCATATCAGTCGGAGGGCCCTGGTAGGGGCCCCTGAAATCAGTCGGAGGGCCCTGGTAGGGGCCCTCATATCAGTCAGAGGGCCCTGGTAGGGGCCCTTGAAATCAGTCGGAGGGCCCTGGTAGGGGCCCTCATATCAGTCAGAGGGCCCTGGTAGGGGCCCTCATATCAGTCAGAGGGCCCTGGTAGGGGCCCTTGAAATCAGTCGGAGGGCCCTGGTAGGGGCCCTTGAAATCAGTCGGAGGGCCCCACACCATCCATTGTCATAAGGCAAAAGCAGGGCTAGGGGCCCTGGTAGTCATAGGGCCTGCTGAAAAGGGCCCCACTCCATCCCTGTGTTCATCAGACGCCCTATGAAATAACAATGTATTGTATCGTATATGTTGAAACAGTTTTGGTCTCGGGCCCCCCTGGGGCCCCTGGCCCCAGAGGGCCCCTGGGCGCCGGCCCCGCTGGCCCAGTCCGTAATCCAGCCCTGGTTAGGTGCGCTTGTTTTATTCATTAAAGCAGCTTGATCAGGAGCACTTAGCCGGGGTTAACCTTTAAACTCTACCCTACAAAAGATGGTCACAGCACACATTTAAAACAAGGTGTTGTCGTTATTAATTTGCACAGGTTTTCTTAAAAGATCTTTCTTAAAGATCATCCATCATGCTGAATGACAGGTTTTGATATGTAGTTAGAAATATGTGAAGATGCTCTAAACTTTTACAGAGGAATATCTTCAAAACACATGTTGATGTCTTCGTATACACAAAGATGAGCTACTGCTCTGGTTGTGATATCACTGAACAATCACTGAACAACAGGTGCCACTTTGCAAGTTGAAATGTACCCTGCAAACATTGTAAAAAATAAAAAATAAACTGTAAGTGTGTGTGTTTTCTTGCAAGCCTTCGTGAAAGTAGTTTGTTGTCTTGATTCCTCAAATGTTCTGTGTGATTGTCAAATTTAAAAGTGCCTATGGTCTACCCTTGAAATATTCAAATGTTTCAATATTGTGTACCAACAGCCTCTTGGGCAAAAATGGCAAACACTAACAATCAGCATCTAAGTCAAATTACCCACTGGAATTAAATAGATGAAATTTCAAATTTACAAACTTTTTGTCTTTTAAGCCACAGTGAATTTGGAAAATGAAACAAGATAAAGACCATTGTCTGACTGACGTACATGGAAACAAACAACCATCACACACACTCATGCATTCCTATGGACAACTGCTTACTCATTGGTACCCTGCAATGACACGGTGGGGACTCCAGTGAGGCAGATCCTTTTAGTTTGTCTTTATTTTGCGTTTGGAATATGTCCTTCTTTAGAGCGCTTATTTTTTTGATAATATTGTGTTTCACATGTAAAAAATAAAATTAAATAAAAAACTTTGATTCTGAATCTGTTCCATGACATAATAATGTGGGAGTGGCTGAAACATTTCAGATGTGTTCGTCATGTGGCCCCACCTAACGCCGTCTTTTAAAAACATAATAGATAGTGGGTGGGAATGCCTAGCATCATGGCAGTGTTTTATGGCTAAGGTGCGGGCTGGTTCATGGAGAGAATGCAGATGGATACGGTCCCTACGTAAACAGCGTAGGTGCGCAGTAATGGAGGGCGCGGTTTCCTCGAGCTTTATTTCCCCCCGCGGCTTCCGTGCAGCTGAACGCGGAAGACAAACGCAAAGCCCAGGAGTCCCGTCGAACTTCCTCTGGACACTGGTGAGTTTCTCAGGTGAATCCATAAATTATTAAACTTTGAGCAGCGACGTTCGCGTGACAAAACATCGTAGACTAACAACAACCAGCGGATTAAAATCCCTCCTCTGAGTGGGATGTTGTTGATGTTAAGCAGAGTTTAGGAGGTGGGATATTCCTGATTAGTCGAGGAATTTCACCTCATTGTTGAAGTCAAGTTGTCCACATTTGAGTGTGCTGTTACAACCAAATAATGCATTTTTAATTGTATATTTCATTAGCCTTATTGAGCTGTTAGCTGTTAAAACTCTTGAAAAGATATGAAAAAAATCGAAACAGGTAAGACAGGTACAACAGCAAGGGAAGAACAGCTTTAAAAGTGTAGAGGGCATGTTCAGAGGTGTATAGCTACCATTAGAATTAGTTTAAAGGCTTTAATCTGAGGTGCTGCTAAAGGGCACAGAGTTATTTCTGAAAGTTGTTTTGAATTTCGAACTGATTGTTCATATCAGTGTAATATCCAAATCTAAAAAGAAGGGAACAGAATGTACCAGGTGTGTGTGTTTGCAGTGATCTGAGCAATTGACATATGTTGTGACTAACACCCTCAAAGGGCCTCCAAGTTTGTCACCTTTAAAAAGAAATCTATTTTGCCCATAAGTAGGGGTCTTACAATTTGATTTAGCCAATATATTGTTTTTTCTTTAATGATTAAGGATGTATTGAATTCATGTTATATTTAATGTTGTTTTATCCTATCCGATGATTAATCGACATTCTGCTCTTTTCCACAGGATTTAGTTTGGAGCCTGAATTCATAATCTGACCAAATTGTTTAGTTAGCCATGTGGCCTAATCAAGGTTTGCAATTCTATTTCCTCTTTTTATATCAATGAGTAAATGCTGTTTGAGTCACAAGTTGTTTATACTTGTTTTTACTGTTATCAGGTCCTCCTGCTCCAATGGGTCCATCAAACCCTGCATATCCGCCTGGTTACAACCCTGCATGTCCTCCTGTCCATCCACAAGGAGTCTTCCCCCAGGCTCCAAACCCAGGTTACCCAGCTGGTCAGTACCCGGCTGGTCAGTACCCGGCTGGTCAGTACCCGGCTGGGATGAACCCTGCCATGGTACCTACAGGTCCTCAAGGGATGATGCCTTATGGAGCTCCTGGACCGAATACTTATCCCATGGCCCCAGGTGGATATCCAGGCGTCCCACCTGCTTGTGTTTACCCTGGTCCCTACCCACACTCTCCAAAAGGGGGTCACCACAAAGGTCACCACAAAGGCCATCATCATGGAGGTGTCCATCCCATGGCTGGAGGGGTGGCTGGGGGATTAGCAGGAGTGGGAATTGGGTTGGTTGGACACAAAGCCAATAAAAAGATGAAGAAGAAGATGAAGAAAGCAAATAAGGGCCACAAGCATGGGCATCATAAACATGGCAAGGTAAGATTGGATTTAAAATGAGAATATGAACAGAGTTTCAAAACAACCCTTCATGCTGCTAAGTTATGGAGAGAGGAGATGCAGTTCAAACCCTGCCCGGCTTTTCATGTTGATGCTGGAGAAACACACCACTAAGACAGTTGTTATGCAGCTGCAACTAGACTCGCTGCACACAATGCAGGTGCTGATCACTGCGATGTACATGATTTTGCAGGCTGAATAAAGACCATTGTTCTCTAGGCTGCTTTTCTTGCCAGAGGATAACAAAATTATTTCAAACTGGTCTGAAATGGATGTATTGAAATTGTATTGTTTAATCACATTGCCTTTAATCAAATGGTCACTTGTAAAAAAATTTTTAAAAACATTTTTACATGTGACTGCAGTTTTCACCTACCAACTGTGAAAACAAAGGATATCGCTATATGAAGACTGTTGCCTTTGTGTGTTCACTAAAAAATCATTTTAAACTGACCAGCTGGGTATGCTGATCTTTCTGATGTTATGCCAGATTGGTGTTCTACATTTGCTTGAATAATCTGTCAGTAAGAAGTGGAAAGTAATGAGAACAATGGTCTTTTGCCTAAGCTTTTTTTGATTTTTATGACCCCCATCTGCAATGAATGACTATTAGAAGATTACTGCCATCTATATACATTGTCTGATTGACATTGTAAATAGTGCCTCAATCAAACACATCTTGATTTAAACAATACATGTTACTTTTTGTTAAGAACTACTAGAAATAACTTATGAACAGCTCATGCATAATTCCTTCTTTGTCTTTCTCTTCAGTCTTCCAGCAGCAGTAGCAGCAGCAGCAGCAGCGACTCAGACTGAGTCTTTCAGCCCGACGGCCGCCTCGCCGGATATGATGCTTTCCAAAAGTGCAACTTAACTACTAACCATATAAATGTGACCAATGGCACTTTTAGGGGGATTTGCAATGTTCTTTTTTGTCTTGCATATTCTATTTATGACACTAGAAACACATTCACACAGACTATTGCTGTTATTACCAAATAAATGAAAATTTACACTTAACCTCTTCTGAATAGCTTTTCAGCTTTTTTTTTATTTTTAGTGTTGAAGTGCTCCATAGCCAATCCTTAACTCTTACCGTTTTTGACATTCTATATTTAATGTATTAACAAAAACATTAGTGCCTGCATTTTCAAGATTTCTTTAAATTTCCAAAGAAATGAATGGATTTAATAGACTATGTGTAAAAAGGTGGAGAAAATTTGAAAATTTATTTTTTGTTTATATTTACCATAATTTTCTATTTACTATTGCCACATGGCTGTGGAAAAAATGCAATTTAACAAAGCTTTGTGCCTGACTTGGGTCAAATCAAATGTAAATACCTCTGATTATAGTCATAATATGACAATACCTGTCAAATAAAAATGTCCTTAATAAATGGATCTTTGATTAAATGTCCCTGTGTTACTTTCCAGCATTTGATATCAAACAACTCGGTTTTCATCAGCTTCACGCCCTCTAGTGGCTCCTTAAAGTGTTTTATTACGATTTATTTCTAAAAATTCTGCATATCTTTTTGAGTGAAAAATAATTAACTATTTTTTAAAACATATATATATTTACAGTACATGTCAATGAATAGATTATCTATGGTTGTTTCCAACAACGGAGCCCTACGGTTGTGACGTTTTCAACTACTGCAAACAATGTTTTTTTGTACGTAATAACCATGAGTCTCAGTGATGCCCTTTTATGTAACCTGCCATATTGCAGCATAACATACTTCGGATGAGGGGACGTACTTTTTAGGGCATCATCGGGTCAGCCTCAAGGTGGGGGCTTGTGATGGGTGAAAGTTCAGAGGTGATAATCTACTTGTCTTTGTGTAAAGGAGTGGAGCTCGATCTCACATCACTCTTCCCTCTTCCCCGAGTCCTTTCTAAACTCTCCCCCGGGTTTCTACCCTCCCGAACCTTTCCCCTTCTACCCTAACAACCCCAACCCTCCCCCCAATCACTTTGCAGCGCAAGAATTGGGTAAGTTTTAATTTTTGTGAAGTTTTTTCCGACTGATGTTTGTTACGACCAGGAGTGGTGGAAAGAAACCGCGTCCAAGTAGCTAGCAACTGCTTGTGCACCATGCTAACAAGGCCGCAGATGATGAGCACGCAGTCTCAGAGCCAACCGTACTTTGTTAAGGCTGCCACCACGTCGTTATTTTACGGTCCTTTTAAAACTAAGACATTTTATCTCTCAAAGAGAACGAATATATCACTATTTCACGGGAGCTACTCATATCTAATCAGGTATTAGTTATGTTGACGGGGGAAGCTAAAGTGCTAGCTTTGCTAACGAGCGCACGCATGCTCCATTCATTTTTCCTAACTCGGCGAGCACCTATGCTAATATTGGCTAACAGTCTTACAATTCGCTTTACAATCAAATGGCTTTACTTCTCTTTAAACGCGACCACCAAAGCAAGCAGTCTTTAACTTTATCTTTTATCAAAAGCGTTTAGATATATGTTACGTAACCCCCATGCGGCCTGAATAGTAGTTGGAGGGTATTTGAGCGCACTTTTGTTGATAAACTTGCTTCAGCATATGGTCTAATGCTAACGGCGCCCTCGTCGTTAGCATTAGACCATATGCGTTTGAACTCGCGTCTTAGACCGCTTCGGCGCTAAATCGTTTCCATCTATAAAGGGATCGTTACTAGGAGAAGAAAGTTCATATAGATGCGTGAACATAGGGGATAGTGATCAGTCATCATTTGAGACTCATGATTGTAGCACGCCTCAGGATCCCTGATCACCAATTTACTGAAACTATGGCCAATGTAAAGTGTGTATCTGTCGACCGTCGTCGTCAGACTCGTGGTCAATATACGTTGAGAAAGTCCTTAACCACCATAGCGTCTGAGCACATTTCCTCTCTAAACTCAGTATAATACAAATAACAATGAATTATTTCCTTACGTATCTTGACTGAGCTTTATAAATCAGGTTAATTATCGAACGATAGGCCTGCTTGAGAAATGGCATTCAGAAGTTCTCAAATAACCTAAATTATGTATTGTTTTTAGTTTTAAGAGTGTGACCTTGTAACAGTGTTTAATGTGTATAGAGGGTAGACGTTTCTATGAATACTTTATGAGCGTCGAACTGAATCAGGTTCTTTTCTCCATATTTATAATGCTGTGTGGATCTCTTTATGTCCTTTAGATCATCTCAGTGACCAAAGACCCCAGTTCTGTCCTGACAGCTACAGTTGCAGATATGGACTCCGGTGTGATTGAAGGCGGACTCAATGTCACCCTTACCATTAGGTTGCTCATGCACGGCAAGGTGAGATCACCCATCGTTTGTTGGTTCAGGCACTCACAGTTTTGAATTGTGTTTTGTTTTTGTTATGTGGAGATTTCAATTTTACCATTGGGACTAATTAAGAGTGAGAAACATAAATGGCAGAGAAGGTATTTACTGAATGTTGGGAGTAAATGTTTTAAGACTTTGTAATTATGTGATTTTCTGGATTGCTGTTGGATTGCCTACTTTACAGTTTGTTTGATTTTTGGTGCTCTGGTCTTTAATTTTTTTTCATATAATGATATGTTCCTTAATTCTAATATGTACAAAGAAGAACAAGTGAACTCTGTAAATCAGTAGTTAGATCCTTCAACTTCATAACTGTGGAAATGTCTCCCCCTCTTCTGCTGACACGCCAGCTGGTTAGTTACACAGAACCATCTGGGATGTCCTTCTTTGTAGCTGGTTGGGAAAGGGTGGGCTCTTGTCCTGTGATTGGATCAACCATCTGTCTTATCACTAGCAATCACACACAAGCTTGAACCAGTCAGATCAATTGAGTTTAGCAAAGTGGGATTTCAAAGCCTCCCCTCTTTGTGTTATCAGTTTTCACACATTAGATGGATAGAAATGAAAACTGAAAGGGAGGGAGGAGTTGATATCTGAATTTGGTTGGAAATATGTCTGCTGGCAAGAGGAGGAGTCACTTTTAACACTGAAATGCCATCAGAGAGATTGTTTGTTCTGTCATTACAAAAATACCAGCAATCATTTTATCATTGATGCACAGCCAGGAACGTACCGGTCGTTCGTATCTGTGACGGGTAATCTGGCATATGTGCTGGCTGGTGAGCAGTTTGATTGATTGTAGACTCTACCTACGCAGTACATATTGTCCTGCACTGGCCTGTAAATGGCACGGACCCAAGCTCTCTTTAAAGTCAGCAGAGGGGAACAAAATCAAAACCTCTTTCTCGGTTTTGCTCTTTGCTCTTCTTCATTCACCACTGATGTAGTTGATCATGGAACCATCTACGCAAAACTCTACAATAGCTACGAGTATTCATTTGAAAGCTTTGCATAATTTGGAGCGTGGCAGGATGGTTTTTTTTTTTTAAAACGTCATCAACATTATAGAGAGAATCCTGGACTGCAAGATCAATCACTTACCGAAAGTTTTGTAATTCTTGTTAAATGGATGAAATCATGGTTACTAAAATATATACTTTTTCCTTCTTTAGGAGGTTGGAAGCATAATTGGGAAGGTGAGTTGTTGTTATATGGCCTTCAAACCTTGATTATCTCTGATTATGTTTTGTGTGATGAAAAATCTGACTTTGTGACTTTTGACCCGTAGAAAGGTGAATCTGTGAAGAAGATGAGGGAAGAGGTGAGTTCTTTGATACTTTAGCGATGCTGTCAAAATTACGCCAGGCTCAAAATGACCTCCTCTTCTGTTTGTCCGTAGAGTGGGGCTCGCATTAACATCTCTGAGGGCAATTGTCCAGAGAGGATCATCACTTTGGCAGGTCCCACCACTGCCATCTTCAAGGCATTTTCCATGATCATTGAAAAGTTGGAGGAGGTAGGTGTTGCGTTTGCACATCCACAGTGACCGTCTCGATCATAAACTGGATAACCGGAGCGCTTTCTGTTTTGTGTTTTTCCTCCATCAGGACATAAGCAGCTCAATGACAAACAGCACAGCTACCAGCAAGCCCCCGGTCACCCTGCGCATTGTGGTGCCCGCCAGCCAGTGTGGCTCCCTCATTGGGAAAGGTGGCTGCAAGATCAAGGAAATTCGAGAGGTGTGCTGGGTGAACCACACAAAACTAACGAACCCTAACGCAGAAGAGGAGTCCCTCCTCCTTAGCCCTCATTGTTCTGCTCGATATATTACCAATCACAGGTGAGACGCTAATCTTTATCTGTCGTCTTACTTCCTGTGTTCCAGTCAACCGGTGCTCAGGTACAAGTGGCAGGTGACATGCTTCCCAACTCCACGGAGCGTGCCATCACCATCGCTGGCACTCCCCAGTCAATAATTGAGTGTGTAAAGCAGATCTGCGTGGTCATGCTTGAGGTAAGCTGATTCTGAGCGCAGTAAAGCGAATGAAGCCGCAGACAGCACCCAAATAAATGTGAGACACCGCTATCTCTTTCTCCCCCACTTGATGTTAAGACATTTAAAGCCAAGCGACATCTTTCTTGTACTCATTGTAGGTGGATCATATTAACTCATTTTTATGTATGCAGCATCTGTGTTGAAAATGCTAAAATTAGACTCAATAGCCCCCCAAAAACGTTTAAAACTTAAAGAAAAGTAATGACTACCATTTATATCAATGTATTGAAACCTGCTTCTTCTCCTGCACAGTCTCCCCCTAAGGGGGTCACTATCCCATACCGACCCAAACCTTCAGGATCTCCCGTCATCTTTGCTGGCGGACAGGTATAAACACACACCGCACGTTCACAGGATCTGTTTTCAAATCTTAACTTCCCAGTTATCTGTCGTGTGACTTTGTGTTTTTGTTAGTGAGGTCCATATGTGATTATAAACATTTTGATCAGAGATAAGGAGCTTTGTAGACATAGTATGTAACAGTGACTTCAGTAATATTCACAAAAAGGAGTTGCCACATAAAGAAATTAAGTGAAGAAAACTCTTGCTCCTTTTTGAAGTATCAAAGTCCAGAGTGATGATCTGCAAAGATGCAGAAAAACAAACGAACCAAGACAAAAAGATTTCAGAACCACATGTTCTGTTCCCTCTAATGTTGTTCCAAACCTAAACCTTTTGTGGCTGTTTGCTTATCATTACAAGGTCTTTTATCTTACTAAATACTTCCTTTTGTCTCGGGAAATATCTTCCTTTTGGTTTCCCTAAATTCTACTTAATGTCTCTAAGGATTTCCCTTTTCCTAGAAATTTGGAGACTTTGGATAAGGCATCCATGCCCACAGTCTTAACAGTAACTCAGACGAGGCTTTGTGTGCTCCAGTGAATTGTGTTTGGAGAGGGATGTAGCTGAAGAAGTAAGTTGCTCAACAGGAAAAATACACCAGGCATTTGAACGTTTTTTTTTCTCCATATGTTTCAGGCATATGCTGTACAAGGACAGCACGCGATTCCACAGCCAGATGTAAGTTCAGTAGACATTTTCCCATGATGCAACACCACCACCTTTTCCACCCATAATAAAGGCTGTGTTCTGCCAAAGCGTTCAGCTGTCCTCAGTTTTACAGCCCCACTCTTTCTGAACTCGCCCCCAATTCAGTTTCATTCGGCTGTCATTTTGGGTACAGTTTTGAGACTCTTTATTTGAACCATTCAGAGAGCAGATATATGTCACATGGCTTCGGATTTGTGTAGTTTGTCCTTTGATAGCAGTCCATTGTTTAATTGACATTTCTGTTTGTCCAGACTCTCCACTGTTGCAAGACCAATAATAATAATCTGTCCCCTCTACCCACTGTTTTTCTTTGTCGTGTTTCATATCTAATTCATTAGTTTGTCCTAGATAAACACAATGTTCTCCTTTCTTAACTTTGTGCTCTGGCCATTTGTTGCCTGATAAACTAATCTTTCTTTCCCCATTTTCAATGGGTTTCATCAGGAGGATAGGATGTCAAATGATAAACGATTAGACTTAAGCTTCCACTGACGGCTGGCATCAGAGCAGAATCAGACCAGTTAGAGACTAAATGTTACACGTGAACTGTTTTGTCTAAGGGCCTAGAGATGGGTGTTTAGATTTATCTGATGAGTTTTGCCCCTGTGAATTGGGACTCTATCCTGACATGGAAGACTATGAGAGAGCTTTATCCAGAGACGCAGCCAGAGCATGAAAGAAATACGTTTTCCCCATAGAGGAGTTCTAAAACACACAATAGGCGTACACACTGATCCATGCTTAGTGGTGTTGCTGGATGGATAGATGTACAAAGATTTGTGTGTGTGAAATCGTTTCTATTGTTTATTTCTTTTTATTGTCTATTTTTGCCTTGTATGTACTGACCGTTAATTTTATTTGCTCTGTTTTTCCCTCCTCCTGTGTTTTCCTGTTTCCTCCATTCTCTCCCTTCCTCCTCCTCTCACTCTCACAGTCTTCCTCTGCTGCTATTTCTCCACAGCTCACCAAGCTTCACCAGCTGGCTATGCAGCAGAGCCCTTTCCCCATTGCACCAAGCAACCAGGGATTCACAGGTGCCGCACAGCAAGGCCCACTCCGCTTTATGTGCACCAATTCAATGGCTCAGATTAGTATTTACACGTTGAAGGCGTGAGCAGTTTTCCAACTCACAAAACTGGAGAAAGCTGAAAGACGAGCGCACGCTTGCCTGGAAATTTAGTGGCTGAGCAAAGGCTTTGTTTAAAATATAGACGTTGTTTTTTTAGTTTTTTTTTTTACATTGTTTTAGTTTGGATCCCGGCGGTCTAATCCACAGGGGTCGAACTCCAGCCCTTGAGGGCTGCTGTCCTGCAGGCTTTACGATGCTTCCCTGCCTCACATCAATGTTAGCAGGCCAACGTAGGGCTCAGACGGTTTGCAGAGATCTATTTAATGAGATTATGGTGTGTGGAAGCAGGGAATGTCTTAAACCTGCAGCCCTTGAGGAGGGGAATGTGAATCTGTAGTCACCATTTTTACTTTTTTTATTTTAAAGAACGTGTTGTCACAGCTGTTGGATATGTTGCAAATGCACATTTGTTACATGTGAATCTCCACAGTTACATCTGTCCAGTGTTTTAAGCATACACACTTCATCATATTATCTTACTAAGACCTTACTGTGGGATTGTTGGTTTAAAGCATTTTCATTCTTCTTTTCTGTCAGGGATGGATGCTTCTGCTCAAACCAGTTCCCATGAGATGACCATTCCAAATGACGTAAGTGTTACACAAAAGCGGTTTTAACAATGTTAAAGCATGTTAACTCGCACGCGTTCTAATGGCATTTTTCTCATCAAGGCTCCTTAACTTGTTTATCTGTTGTTTTATCTGAGACATGAGCTTTTTGAAGAGGCAACACCTTAAGTTTAAAGATGTTACTTCTGGTTGCAGTCTCAGATGTTGCTGCTCAAGCTTCTCAATATCCTCAGAATGTGAAGTAAACTTACCAAAAGAGGGATCGGATTGTGCATGACATCATCTTATAAGCAGGACTGCCAGTTACTGAACGACTTTCCATGAACTTCACTTATTTTTTAGGGTCAAATGTTGTTTTTACCCCCTAAATTTCTCATCCTCTCCACTGTAGCTTATTGGATGCATCATTGGCCGCCAGGGAGCCAAGATCAACGAGATCAGGCAAATGTCTGGTGCCCAGATCAAGATTGCAAACCCAGTGGACGGATCAACTGACCGCCAGGTCACCATCACAGGCTCTCCTGCCAGCATCAGTCTGGCAGAGTACCTCATCAACGCCAGGTGAGACGCATAGTACAGGTACAGTCACGGGGAGGAGAGTCAGGTGTGCTATGTTTCTCTGCAATTATCTGTCAGTGCCGGAGCAGCTTAGATCATCTTAGCCTGTGTTTGTCGCTACTGCCTGATGCTGCCGCATTATATTAATCTCATTCCACCTAAACAAATCATTTATATTCCATCAAAGTCATGAAAAAAAAAGAAGTTAAATGTGTTTACACTTCTGCTCATCTTGTCTGAGATGTTTGTGTTTTCTGAGTGTGTTAATTCACTTCTTGTACCCTCTGAATTCCGCATTGATCCTTCACTGCAGATCTGATTGGTTAACCCCCCCCCCCGCTTTATTTTTTCTTTCTACTTTAATTTCTAATAATATTTCTTGGCTTTTGGTCACATCCCTAAGTGATTTTATCCCCCACACCTGACCCGACCCTCCTCCCAACCCTAACTTCCCCAACCCATTGCTCACCAGCCTGCCCTTTGACCCATCCCGACTGTGTTGTCCCTCTCTCCTTGTCTCTCTTTCTACAGTGTAGAGTCCTCTAAACCTCCTCCCTCCTCCTCCTCTTCCTTGAACCCTGAACAGACCAGCTTGTGCCCTCCCTCAACCTCTACTACTACTACTACCACCACTACTACTACTACTACCACCACCACCTCCTCTGCTGCTACCTCCTCCTTCCCCTCCTCCTCTTCTTCTTCCTCTTCCTCCTGTGTGGTGCCCCCCACAGCCTCCATCCCTCTGTCCTTGTTGGCTCCTGGGCCGCCTCCTCCCTCCTCTTCCTCCTCCTCTTCTTCCTCCTCCACTGATTCCCTGCTCCCCAGCTCTCCTGCCTGTGTGTCCAGTCTCCTCAGTCTCAAGCCCCTGCCTCTGCTGGCCCTCCATGTGGTCAGCGGGGCCAGTAACACCCCACACCCAATCCCCACTGAGCCCAAAGTGGCCCCCGAGCTGGGCTCCAAGTCTAAAAGGCGAAGGCTCTCCCCTTACTAACGAAAGGAAAAATAAGTCATCTCCCTCTGAAGTGCAGGCAGTGCTCGTGGTTGTTTGTATCTGCCCTGGCTTTTGTACGTGGCTCTGCCATGCCATGCTTACTACAGAGAGCAGCCCCTCCCAACAGTGCTGGAGAGACGGTTGATGCCATATTTATAGAGCATAGCTTAATTTGACCTGTCTGTAAAATAAATGGAAATTTGAGTGCATTCGATTTTTTAAATGATTTTGAACTGAGCATGGACGAGGAATGATTACTGAATAACTGAAGCGTTTCTCAGTTTGTGTTAAGCTCTGCTCAGGTAGCGGCACTCTTAAGATGTCTCTTTGCATTAGTTTGATTTGCTCTTTTGTGTTAACTTTTAAGTGACTGTTGTCAGCCGACTATATACACGTTAAAACGACCTTATTCTTATTGATTTGCTTATGTAACCAACAGCAGTCAGTTTCTTTGAGAGTTAATCTGCCCTCAGGTATAAGTCACCAAATCACCCACTGGATCAGGTTGATATTGAAAACGGGTGGGGGGAGGAACAACCAATAGCTTCAACTTAACTTCAATAAGAAGCAAGCAAACTAATTGGATGTATTTTGCTCCACACAACATGACTAATTATAAGTTTAGTCTATTAGTTTATGAGATAGAAGTGCCAAATGTCTGTGAATATGAAGCTGCTGCCAGGAGTTTTTTGGCGATGGTTATCATGAAAATTGTAAACTGGAGGAAAACAAATTGGTGTTTAAAACGGCACCATTTCCATTTTGAAAAAGATTTTAGCAGGTGGAGCCCAAAAATCTATTTATCGGAACTCATTTTTCATTGTTAATAAATCCATTGAGCCCATTGTTGGATTTTATTCTAGAAATGTAATGTACAGTAAATGATATTGACGTTTTGTCTTATCTGTCTGATTGCATGCCTTCCTTTCTCTTCTTCCCTGGTCTCTGGGTGTCTATCTGTTTCTCCAGGCTTTCCTCTGAGGCCACAGGATTGTCAGCCAACTGATAAGACACTGCATCTGCACAAAAATCACAATTTTATGTCATCGGCTCCCAAAAAGCAGTCAGTGCTACTGTCCGACTTCAGAGTTTATATTATACCACTTCTTCCTCATTTGAAATCATGTCGGCACCTGTGTGATCCTGCAGAGTTCATTATTTATTTTCAGTTTTTTTTGGTTTTAGTCAAAAGAAGAAACAAGTCAAATTTTAAATTCCCTTTTTGTGAGTCGGGTTGGAGATTTTAATGATTACCTTTTTTTTTTTTTTTTTTTGTTTGGATGGATCTCTTGCTCTCTTCCATTTACTTTCCTTGCCACACCAGAGGTGTGGAGTTGGTAAACTCTGATTAGGCATATAGATTTAGTTCTAAAGTTGTTTTTTTTCTCTCTCAAAAAAGAAAGGATCAATTTAAGTGTGAAAAATACGCAGAGTGACCCTTTTTATTCTGTTTGTAAAGATTTTGTTTCTCTCCCAGTTTCATCAGCCAGTCTGTCCATTTCTTGTATTTACTTTAAAAACAAATTCCGTCATTCCCTCGCATCTCCTTTTTTTGGATTTAAGTGCTTGTTACATGGATTACACTTGTGTCACTGATGAGAATCCGTAGCTGTACGCGCACTGTCACTCGGCATATTTGGTCATGATGGCAAACACTCAATTGAATTTATTCAGGTAATTTGAAATGTGGATTCAAAACGCATGTCCCTTTTTCCTCTCCTCTACACGCCATTCCGGTTTCCCCCCTCGTGGTCCTGAGATTATTTGTTAATATTTTGCTGGGTTGGGAGGTTTTTTGGGGTCTGGGCTCTGCTCAAGGGATCGGAAGCAGAGGGTTGCCCTCGCTTTTTTTGTATAGACTGATATATACTAAAGAAAAAAAAAATTAAAAAGTTGGAATATTTGTTTTAAATGGAGGAATTATTTTTTTTTAATACCAAAGGGGGAGAACTCCTGGACACTGATTTGTCTATGAAACGTGATGAGGCTGGTGGGGAAAAAAAAAAAAAAAAAGGTGAAACCACAGATGCTTTGGAACTTGTCAAAGACAGGGTTGTGAGTTAACACTAGATTCCTGCTCTTTGCTTTGCTCAATTCAGAATCTGTTTTATTTTTTATTTGCAGGAAAGAATAAACTTTTGTGCACGTTTTTTGAGACTGTAGACCTGGGTGCCACAACATTGTTTAATAAAAATGCAGAAATAAAGATGTGAAATGCTCAAACCACAAATTCTCTGAATTGTCTTTAATGTATTGGGGAAAAAAAACACATTTGGGCTTTACAAGTTGAATTTTATTTTTAACTGGTTCTTAAATATATTTAATGTACAGTTACAATAATGCAGTATAAAAGCCAACGTTTGACTTCAGAAGGGGGATTGTTTCAGTCAGCAGTGTTGTGAACATGTACCACCATGATGGAGACACTGGAGGGCAGTAGTCTTGCTTTTTGGCAACGTGTAATCCTGATGGAGGACCATTAGCTTTAAATTTTGGAGTACAAATAGCTTAAAATGGAAAGATTAAACATCTTACAAGACATCGATGAAATGTGCAACCTGTTTTTTCCCCTCCTTATTGAGAAACCTGGTCAGTTCTAAATGTGTGAACAGAATGTTATTTTCAATGAGAGCTTTGTCATGGGGTAACATGTATCAGCACCAGAGTTTTAGTCCTCATTTTGCTTCTCAAACATGAGTGTATCGTGGCCATTGGTTCCCAGCTGGTGAGGGCGTGGCCTTTACAAACCTATGAACAATGATGAATGCTTGTAAAGCTTTGCCATGTGAAGTGTATGGTGTGCTAAAACGCAGTAGAACTACAGAATATTTTCTCCTGACATGAGTCAGAGTAACCACCAGCTCCTCTGATTTCATTTGTAGAAAACAAATCTTCAAATCGACTGTATTCTCCCAGCAGTGAGACCAAAATGTTCAATTTTCCAAAACAATCTTCCGTGTTTTCTATGTTAAACAATAAATAATCATCCATTTTCATGAGTTAAACAATGTAATATTTAATTAAAAGACCCCCCTTTTTGATCCCTCCTGTTCCTGCTAAACATTTTATTAATTTTTGAACCGTTATCTGTGTCTTGCCAGGATTACTGTTAATATTTCATTTCTGTTGGTCACAATGAAAGACCTTTTAATCCTGAGGTATCAAATAAGCATAAGTTATGAAGCACATGTATGAGTATATATATATGAAGCATTCTTTTGATACAACCAAAAATGCCCAAAAAACAGATTTTTAAACTTATATTTTAATTAGTTAAAAGCTGCCATACTAACCGGGATGTGGTAACTACATCTAGGGTAAATGAACCCAAATGTGTTCCCAGAGCAGACGTATTGCTTTTTCTTTGTTCCTCTTGTTCTGTGTTCTCGATGCTCGGACATGAACAGCAGCTACGCTTACATTCTACTACCAGAAGCTTTTTGAGGTTCAAATAGAATTGTGCCACCCTACTGAGAAACATCAGCACCTTAAATTATACAATCTCACATTTAGAAAATTTGTTCATTTAGCAACATCTCATATTTACAATGATATTAAAACACAGAAGTAGAAAATGGAAACTTAAACCCTGACACAAATATAAATTACTGTAAACAAAACAAAATGTAAACATTGATTTTTTTTTTTCACTCGGTTTTCTCTAGAAGAATAAATAAGTTAGTGCATAATGTTTTGAGAAGAAATGGATTATGACACAGTCCTTTTTCAGTGTAAGGAGTGACATCATTGGCTGTTCCACAAATGTTGTCAATTCAAAGTGTAACAAGAGCCCCGAAAGAAATCTTGTAAGAATCTTTTCATATGACACATTATAAGATAAGATGACACTGTTTTCTTTGAGAGAGATTTAAAAGAAAATAAACATGGAAAATGACAACAGACATAAGAGTCGTGTTCTTGGCCTCTTTGAACGAAGGCCCTTGTTGCTGAGGTGTAATTTAATACGTTTTTGCGAAGCCGATCTCGGGCCTGTTGCTATGGAGAGATCGGAGGGAGGTTGTTGCTCTGTCAGCTGGTGCTCCGGTGAAGTGCTAAATCTCAGGGGGAGATGAGATTCTTCCTTTTTTCATCTCAAGTTTCTTGAAAGACATCTTGATTTTCTGTCCTTTCAGCGACCCTAAATGTGGGTGCCTTTTTGTTTTTTCCACTTTTTGAAAATTTGCTATGGTGAATTCAGAGGCCAGATCTGTGGGTTTGGGAGTGGGCTGATATCCAGGTTTTCTTTCACCAGTTGGCTGGAGGCTGGCTGGTCTCTGCACTGCACGAGTGGTCCAACTCCGCACTGTCGCAGTCGGAGTCGTCGTACAGGCCCTGGTTTGGAGAAAAAAAGCAGGAATCCTTTCAGTCAGAAAAACAACAGCCTGACTACCGAAAATCTATGGTGTCGTTTTTTCTCTTTGCATTCCCCCGTTCTTTTCTTTTTTTTCCTACCTCATAATTATGCTCATTTGAAGCGAGCTGTGTCTTGACTTGCCGAAGGGCAGCCTCCTTTTCGGACAGTCCGTCGGAGCCCAGCTGGGTGGGGTCAGATGGGTCGGCAGGAATCTCCGAGCCTTGAGACAGCAGGTCATCGCTTTTGTAGTCCAAGCGCTCGTCCGTGTTGGTGCTGACCACGTCGGGTGTCCCGCTGTGGGAGTGGTCACTGGTGTTTCCCTCCTCTCCATCCGAGACCGATAGGTTCTCTGAGCTAAAGGTTGACTGGGACTGGCATTTGGTGATGCTCACAGGCCTCCTGCGCAAATTCAGGGAGGACAAGAACACAGTAAGTGAGTAAATGTGTTCTTCACAGCAGACAGAGGGAGGTGTGAGTGACCAGAGATCTGCTTAGACAGTTCACACAGAGCTAATGCCTCTCTGGAACATTTTCGTGTAGGAATTCTGTAACTTTCAGCTAGTACTCATACTTCATATTCCATTATAATCCATAAAAATGAAAAACAGGAAACATTGTCCCCATTTTATTAATTTTAGCAGTTTAAGGTTCCATAAATGTGTGTTTATCCTAAAGCTGACTTTAACCGAAGAACTGTCCACTTAAGTTCCTTTAATAGATTTAGCTACAAGGATGAATGGAAAGTCTTAGTTTTAGAAAAGTAAACTATTTCCTAGTTGTTGTTTTTAAATGTAATTCGGGATGATCCCAGTAACTAACATTTTGCCATTTAATCAACCCACATTAAAATCATTGTGTCCTTCTAGGATGTGAGTGTAAATCACCGTTACTTTTTCCACCTACTGGACATTTATTGGTAAGTTATTGCAAGGTGTGGTGAACTGTGTGCATGTAGACACCCAAACAATCCACAGTCTGAACACTCAAAATGGTTGTGCAGACTTTTAAAAATGTGATTTTAGGTCTGGGATTGGTTGCAGAACATGGGCTGTAAAGCGTCTTGTAGGAAAGCACCAAAGGAAATTGAATTACAGTTAGTGGTCGGTAATCACATTTAAAGTCTTTTACTATTCTTACCGTCTCCTGGGCAGCTCCACTTCACTGTCCACTTCTCCCTCCTCCTCCTCCGATGACACTCCACGTCTCTGGGAAGAAAGAAAACGAGCAGCAAACAGGTTTCAGTGTTTCATTAGGAAATAAAAACACGGATTCCACATTGTACTTCCACTTATCACTGGTTACTAGAGGGTCATCCTAATACCCTCAGATGTCAAATTAAAACTCTGAGCTGACCTACATCAAAACTCATAATTACAATAAAAATGCAGTATTTTACTCTTGACGTGGTCTTGTGTAGATTCTTCAGCTCATCACAGTGACGGGTTCAGAGCGGTGGGTCTCACCTGACTGCGGGTGACCGCTGCCCGGTACAGCAGCGCGGCCGGGGTGAGGCGCTGACTCCTGGGCGAGCGGGTTATGACCGGGCTGTCCTCCTTCTCCTCTCCGTCGTGCGGGGCGCGAGCGTTCCCCAGAGCCGAGGCCCTGCCCGCGGCCGCCCCTCTGCCGCAGGGGGAGTCCGGGCTGCTGGAGAACGGAATGGACGCCGCGTCCTCGCTTGGCGTGTCGCTCCGCGGAGGAGTTTCTGCTAGATCGTCAGTCCCCATCCCCGCGTCCTGGCCGTCCTCCGGCCCGTCGGTGCCCCTGCCCTCTTCCAGCCCCGCCGAGGCGCTCTGACTGCCTGACCTGTCCAGCCCCGGCCTCATCTGCCCCTTCCTCCGGCCCTCTGCCTCCAGCGTAGTGGAAATGAGATCGGGGCTGGAGGACGACATCTTCTTGAGCAGCAGGTCGTGCTGCAGGCCTCTAAGGGCTGCGCTGGGGTCCAGCCGGTGCTTGCTGCTGGGAACGGATGAGGTGGCATTGATCATTGCTAAAGAAGAGGACAGAGTGGCTTTGAGCTGAGCCAAGTCCCCGCTGCTGCCCTTGCCGGACTTCCTGTAACGGGGTTTTCCTCGGCGTGAGCGTCCAGGGGAGGTAGATCCCTTGTTAGGGATGGTGACTTGGGTCATGGATGAGTCCAGTTTGGGGAGGATAACCTCTGACTTCAGTAAGTCTGGCCTGGAGAAGAAAGAGGCATCAATTTTTGAGAAAAAAAAATAGCTGGTTTTGTCATTCTGTACAGTTTTTTTCTTTTGCATTTCACATTTCACAAACTCAAGGATCATACCAGGTTGATATCAAATTAACCCGCTCCTACAGAACTGTAATTCCTACTCAAAGTACACTGTAATATTTCCCTGGTTTGTAAGGAAAGACCAGGTCACAACAATAGCAGCCGTCCTTTAAGTTCAGGGTCTCACCTCTTGCTGTGTGAGGGCAGTTTCTGTGGCACGTTCCGTTTCTTCAAGAGCTTCTCCATTGAGTTTGAGGAGGCCGACTGTCTGGAACTGTGGTGCTTAAAGCAGCCCGGGTACTTCTTGTCCAGTGAATGCTCCCTCCTGACGTTTAAAGACAAAGCCATTACTCTTTAAATACCGGCCCAGTCAAAATCCATTGTGTGTCAATGGATACTGAGACCAAGAGAGCCCTTTAAAACAAGCACCGGTCCTATGTGACCCGGTGTAAAAGCCATTCAACTCACATTTCTTAAAAACCTCTCTGTGCTCTTTCATTACAAACTGTAGTACTTCATAAAGAAGTGCTTAATCCAAAGTATCTACATTAATAAAACCCATTTAATTCCCAATTTGACTGCAGTGCCAATTTTGTCTTAAATTCAATATGGTGCACTACAGGAGGGCTTCTTTGCTATAAACCGTATCAAATTAAACGTTCATACTTAAGCAGCTCTCTCTCTTTGATTTCCAGCTGTAACATTATAGCATTCAGCTCCATGTAGAGATTGTTGGCTCTCTCCAGTTTTCTCTCATAGTGCTCCCGTATGTCCAGCGCATGCCTATAGGACATACAAAAAAAAAAGAGGGAAAAGGTCATTAATATGCAGACCATGGCATTTATCTACGATGACACGAAAATTATGAGAAATCTGCCTCCAGCGCATGGAAATTTTGATTTAGTGCATCTGAAAATGTCTCTTTTTCCTTCTGCTGAGTGTTTTTAAGGGAACGTAGTGCTGTACGTGTTCAGAAACAGATGCTTTAACCTTTATTTAGATAGGTCATGACATGTAAAATAGTTTCTGTGCGAGTGTCCAGGCAAAACCCAGCGATAGGTCATTGGTAATGAGAACACGGCAAAACATACATGTGGAATTTAAGTTAAAAAAGCTGCACACCATTCAAACACGAAACACATACACACAGATAGACCAGCCAGCCTGCTTATTCAAGTAAGCAAGTACTGTGTGAAACGGCTTTTTTCAGCTCGCAATCGGTCGTAAACAGTTTGTTTTGTTTTGTTTTTCCAACCTGAGTTCCTCTCTGCGTCTTTTAATCAGCTCCTCGTCCAGCCTGTGAAGACACGTTCCCTCAGATTTGATCTTCTCAAAGTGATGTCTCACCTCGTCTCTCCACTCCGCCTGGTAGAAAACATAAAGCATCAAAGCTAACGTTTACAACATGGAATGACAACACAGCTCATATTTTTACAGGCAATATTTGTGCCTGTTAAGGTCCATGGAACCACAAAAAACCACAAAAATATGCAAAGGCAAAAACACACGTGAAACCATTACCCCAGATAAAGTTGCAATCATGATTAGGGAATAACTTAAAACTACTACAATTTACTTTAAGTTCAATTATGACTCACATGATGCAAATGAATAATGAATAAGGTTTAGATCAATGGTAACAACACTTTCCCTGTTGCTCACTTCATTATTTATTTACAGAATTATATTGTAGTAAAATGTGTTTCTTCCAGCTTTTGCAATACTTTTCCAAGCACCCTCTGCTCTTGAAGACGCAGCCACTTTATTTGTTCAGCGTAAGAAATCGTTAATTTCTCAGCTATTTAAATAAAATGATATCAGTGCTGTTATTGCACCTCCATTAAGCAGGAATGTCTTCATTTGCAGAGCAGTTAGGGTTCTTTTGTGTTACTGAAACAAACCTATTAGGCTGTCAGATGGTAATCAATACACAAAAGCAAAACTGAACAAGAACTGACATGACATGAATCCCAAAAAATAAAAAAAATGCAGCGTGGGCATTCTCTAGTGCTCAGTGGAGCGTGACAGCTGTTATCTGATACCTGTCATATCAAAGGACAAGGGAAGTCAGGTTTATGTGTGTGCGCATGCACATGTATGTGTATTTGATTTAAGGTGTGTGGCCTATCTCTCTGTGCATGTGAGAAGCTCTCCTTAATAAGCTAATGGACTCTGCGCAATCTTCCATGTCTCCAGTCCCCTCTTTCTCCTCTCTCTTTGCTCTCTGCTCTCTACCATTAAACCAATCAATACACTCCAGCAGCAAATACTTCTTTCTAATGTCACAAGAAAAAATCCATTATGGGGCCGAGAGAAGAAAATCTGGGGAGGGTTACGACGGGGGAAGGGGGAGGACGGGAGAAATAAAGGATCAAGGATAAGTGGAGTGACTGAAAGAGGTTTATGTTTTGCATCACAATATATAACCAGATGAAGAAGCCTCACAGGAAGAATTAAATCTTGTTTATTTTGTGTGTTTGTGTACAACTGTCTAAGAATTACACACCACGCATGACTAGATCTGTGGTCTCTGATTTTTTCGGAGTGGTCCGACACATTTACAATGCACTTCCATCCCCCACACAGTCACAGGTATAGTCTCCTTCACCACCACGCTTTGATACGAGGGGGGATGGAAAAAATATTCTTCCTTTGACCCAGTGGCCGTATATAAAAGACCACAAATCAGTACTCATGTGTGAGATGGACAAAAAAGCAATGGAACCAACAACAATGCAGTGTGATTGAGAGGGCAGGTATTATTATTGGGCTCCCGAGAGACTTGAGGCCCCCGTGCAGCTGCTCGCGCCGCGCTGCATGTAGTTACTGCGGCGGGCTGAAAAACAAATGGCAGCAGCCTGATAGCAGGCTACACGACAGTAATGCCGGCAGCTGTTAATAGGAGCTTCACGAGCACTTTATCTAAATTAATTTATTTGCGTGATGAATGACTATTGAACATTACACATAATGTAACAGGATTACGTCGTAAAAGAGCTCATTCGCACATCTTGTCTACTGACAGTGTAATGTTATAACTAATTAAATAAAAAACTTAACGAAATGGACTCAAGTAAAGGTCAAGTCCAGGAACATGTGATGTGTCGTATAAACACTGAGGGGGGTCATCGCTTCCTCCGGCTCAACAAATGCCTTCTTAATTAGAAAACAATTAATTTTGAATTGATAAGAAGCAAACACACCCTTTTTCTTGATGGAACGGAAAGGGTTCAAACATAAAGAGAGCTAACCTGGGACTGAAAGTAAGTTTCTTGTGCAGTAGACAGTATATCTGCAGAGGCGATGTCCAGGTGAAGGAGGATCTGTCGAAATGAAGGTCTGTTTCTTGGCTTGCAGTTCCTGAGAAAAAGATTTTTAAAAATGTATTAGCTCTCTGCCTTTAAATATCTCATTTTATTTACTTTATATATTTTCCTCTGCTGACAGGGAGACAATCTCTATATTCTTAAAGCTTCTCACTTTATCTTTTCCCCTAAAAGATTTATGTCATTTTCCTGGCCCACTCTTCCTTTTCTAACCCTTTCCTCTCTCCTCACCAGCATTGCCTCAGAAGCAGTTTGAAGCTGTCTGGACAGCTATCAGGTACAGGTAGCTGTAGACTGTTGTTGCCCACTCCCCAGATGATAGCGGAGGAGTCCACGTCTTTGTAGGGTACCTCCCCCGTCAACATCTCCCACAGCACCACGCCGAATGACCTGAAGAAAGAGACGGTACGTTCTCATTTTCACATCTGTTTAGTAGGACATGACAGTAAGCCTATGGGAAGGGTAACTAAGGAAAGTCTGTTGCTGATGACTCCCTGGGTTGCCATGGCAACTTTGCACAGTATCCAGCTCTACATGTATGATTGGGGGTGTATGTGATATACAGTCGTGTTTACATGGCTATTTTTAGAATCCCTTTGACTCTAGGCTTCATTTCAACACTGCATATGAAACTTTCAAATGTGACTCACATTGAACTTTAGTTTTTCACTGAGGGCCTGTGCTTGATGAATGAATAATTACATTTCTTGATGGGATTAATAACATGTCATGAACTGGCATTTATCTTAGCTGATCCAGTGTTATCCGGGATGATTGCTATGGACTTGATGTACAGTGAAAGATCTAAGTCACTATCTTTAAAGTAGTACCTCACATCTTAAAGGTGATATCTTAATCTGACCAAAATATTGGAAGCATCATGACTTAGAAGCCAGAGAGTCATGTTTTCATCGAACACTGAACACATCCTTACCAACAACAAAAATAATCTGTTTAACAATCAGCATTGTTAAACTAATAATAAATTAAATTCAACATAATTTTGTACTACAAATGTCTTTACAATAAATAAAAACATGAAATAAAATTGGAGCTGTTAGATCTTTTGAATATTCAGTGTGTTTATGACGATGACTGCTGGGTTTTCTTAAGCCAAGCCTTTATGAAAAAAAGGCCCTGCTGTCACAAAATTGAACAAAACAAAATGTTTTCCACATATGGAAGTACTTAATAAAAGCTTCTCCCTATCAGGCACTCTTCTTGTTGTATGGACGCCTACCAAGTGATTTACATAGATTTAAACAAAAATGTACTCTACACACCCAGGCTTTGCTTTCTTTCTACATCAAAAGCTTTTTAATCCTATTTTCACTTGTCAGCTAATGCACTGCTGGCTCATGGCCAAACCATCCGAAGGTTATTCCAGCCTCTCCTGAGCACTGCAGCATCTGGCAGATCAATTATTAAATTAGCCAGCGTTCCTTTCAGGACAGAGAGAAAGACTGATGGAGAGATGCAGTACAGGGAAAAGAGGGAGGCAGAGAATGCAGTGGGGGATCATGGCTTAACATAGGGCAACCCATCAGATATGGTAGAGATCCTATAGAATTTCATGTAATGAGATATTATACATCGTACTGAATAGATTTTCTGGAAACAGGATCCCTCTCTCTGCACTGTAGTAGACTGCAACTAATGAGATTCTATGTTGATTTGGTGGACGATAAGAGAATTCAGAAGGGAAAATGTCAGGACTTCATTGGTGCAAAAAGGACAAGTTAAAAGGGTTAAGACACCTACCAAATATCCACCTTCTCTGAGACAGGTTCATTACGGATGACCTCGGGAGCCATCCAGGCCACAGTCCCGGCAAAAGACATTTTGGTGCTCTTGTCATTCAGCTCTTTGGACGTGCCGAAATCTGAGATCTTAACAGCGTCATCGTAGGTGATCAGTATGCTGCAATTAAATGTTGACATTTCAGGTGACAAGAAAAAAGAAACTGACAAACCAATCACAGTAAGACATTGTGACACAGAGTTAGTCACTCATATAGCACATATATAAATATCCCTTCATATTTTATTCAGACCTGACAGGTGGTGTAGCAGTTACGGATTATGAGTTTGAAAGTTCCCCCTAACTCTTTATTTTCTACCATTTCATGATGATTTGCACATAGTATCTTTTTAGAAACTCTATACTTCTGGACGCCAGACAAATTGGCAGATTTGCAGATTAATCAATTAAAAAAAGGGGAAAAATCTTTCAGCATTTTTTCTCTTGTTTTGGGTAATATATTAAGTCCCAGTAATCTATGTATCACATATGATACACATGGTATTAACGGGTTAATAAAACTCTTCCACAGTAGGTTTCTTTGCTGTTGTCATTTATTCATCTATCACACAGTCAGAGTGACACCAAATCCTTTTGAGGTCTGCAGAACTCACTTGGGTGACTTGAGGTCTCTGTGGATGATCTTGTGGAGGTGCAGATAGTTCATGCCTCCAGCAATGCCCATGGCCCAGTCCATGAGCAGGGATGGGGTGATCTTTCTGCCCGCTCTCAGCACTTCGTACAGTTGTCCCTGAGCGCAGTATTCCATTAAAATGCAGTAACAAGGAGCCTGGGTACAGATACCTCTGGGGAGTTGAACAAAAACATGAACAGCATGTTACAGATTGACAATTCTTAGTGTATTCAAGAAACTATTTATTCAACTACTTTTCCTTCTCTGCTATAATGATAGCTGAAAGTCCACGTCATCATAAATAATTAACAGTGAGCAACTTTTTAATATCTGCCAATCTGAGCGTTCATTTGTTCATACATAGATGTCAAAAAGCGTCATCATCACTGACACACTCAATTAAAGTGTTCTGATTAAACCAAATGATCTTTTCTACTGACTTGAAAGTGATGATGTTGGGGTGTTTCAGCTTCCGCAGGTGCTTGATGTCAGTCTCTTTTATGTTCCGCACTTTTTTCACAGCCACTTCCTGTCCGTGCAGTTTTCCGAGAAAGACGGCACCCTGGGCTCCACTGCCCACCCACTGAAGGTCTGATATCTCTTCGAATGGGACCTCCCACTCTTCTGAGAGAAAAAGGTGAGTGTTTATGACAGAACAGAGTGGTAATTGTACTGGGCCAAGTAAAAGCAAGATGAAACTGAGTTTCAAGATGTTGTTAGAAAAATTAAGTTGAATGGAGAACTCACCAACTAAACATTTTTTAAAGCTTCAACATGCTGCATTTCTTGTTTTTATTTTACCCATAGAGAAGCTATTGTACTTTATATTTTGTCCGGGCCGTCAGTACTAACACAACACAATCCTCAAAACTTAAAAATGTCAACAACTTTTGAATTTGGATAGGAATATATGGATCATACAAATAATTTGGATTCTCTGTCATCTTTTATCATGCGATAATAATTTTGACATTTATGATTAAGATGTAAACAGCTCAATGCTAGATATACTCAGGGTTAACTCACAATTGTCACTTTTCTAACACTTATTGCAGTCTAGCACATACTGTCATCTAATTAGGAGGAGCAAAAACTGTGAAAATGTTAAATCTCCAGTGTGTCTTTCATCAGTATCACAAATTGTGGTCCAAATGGAGATTCTAATTATTAACCTGACTGCTCATGATAATTGACTTTGAAAAACTTATTTAGATATTGAACTTTTCATGTCCTGGAGTTCAAAACTAACAAACATAAAATTAAATGAAAACAGTCAAAGGAAATAACAGTGAATAAATGTACCAAGTGAATTGGGGTTTAGAGCACGGTAAAAGAACACAAAAATGTTCATCGCAAAACAAAAACAAAAAATGCTGGAAGCCTCAGGAACACAGACCCTCAGCTGATATCTTGTTCTGCAGTTGAACCTCACCTTAACCTAACACTTTAGTGTGCGGGTTTACAGACAGTGAGCTCTAATCTCCCGTGGGTAATTCCCCCTCAGCCTCCTAAATCCTGCTTAGTGCCATTGTGGGGCTGACACGAAACAGGGGTCCAATGCTCAGAAGGGGTTTGGAGGAAGGAGAGGATTTGAGAGTGGATGTAGGCTGAATCGAGACGTGGAGGAGCAGTACAGACGATGATAAGTATGTGCGGGAAAAGAGATGGGTGGGGGATTCCCCCTCGGGTCAGCTGGGGTCTATGTGGCTGGAGACAGGCTGTTAATCCAGAAAAAATATACAGCTTAGCCTGCTGCTGTTCTTAACCGGGGAGGGAAGATCAGACACATTTATTATATTAATGAGGTTGACATAAATGATTAATGCCCCTTAAGTGATTGATTGAGTCCTCGGCTTCTAATGAACCCCTCAAATTTTTCCATTGTAAAGACATCAGGCATCTTCTGACACATCAGACTTTCCTTCATTGTCTTTTGCTTGATTTGAAATATTGAGCAAATTTGGCAAATAAGCGGAAGTCCCCTGTCCATGGGATCCAATAAGGGGCGTATAGTGTTCCTGCCTTCTGCTTCAACACATTGTTGCCTCCTTTCAAAGATGGAGAATGGGAATTTTTCATAACATTGGCCGGCATTCAGCTGCCACAGCCCTATTTATTACACTTTAACAATATCCGTTTTGCTGTCATAAGTGTGTGTGACTCTCTGTGATGCTGCACAGAGGAGGAGAGCAGCAAGGTGCAGATGGACTGGGAGTGATAACTGCACAGGATGAAAAGGAGAGGAAGGGAGACAATGAGAGATGGAAGGAGGAGGGGAGTCAAAGGAAAAACATGAAAGTCAAACAGGGTGATAAAATATCAGAAAATACCACAGACAAGAAGAGGTGTGCATCTGCACCTTCTTGTCTTTTTTGAGATGCTGAATTCATTTTCGTTTGGCATCTTGTTCAACTTTATATGTTCATGTCAGTGTTAGCTGTGAATATTTCTGTGTACATCCACCCGTGTGCATGCGCTCACGTCAGGTTGTGTGTGGGTGTGTGTGTGGGTGGGTCAGGTTTGTGTTAATAGAGATGAGAGGCGCAGGGTCAGAGCGTGGCCATGCATAATTCATGAAGCAGATTTGGCAGAGGAGTCTCAGGGGAGCCCTGCGCTTTTGTAGTGGCTGCAGACATAAACAACACAACGTCACAGGGAGCTAGTTTCGGTGGGGGGTGGCGGTGGGAGGTGGGCACAAGCAGGAAAATGGATGGGAGGGTTGTATCAGGGGAAAATAAGCCCTTTGCAGCTTTGATAGAGTCTCCCTGAATGCAGCTCGTTCATGTCACGGAAAGTGTTTGTTTACAACACAGCCTTTGTGGGAGTCATTTTTCTACCCACTGCTTAATGTAATTAAACAGGGAGATAACATCATTAAATTAGCATATTAAAGCTTCTCTCCAGAATTAAATTGGAACTAGTGGTTGCTTTTATTAGAAAACTAAAAGCCATCTTTGATTGTAATGTGTATAGAGGTGCTTTGTGTGCATTTTACACAAAAAAGAAATCCGTGCTAGACTCACCGTCCAGGCCGTGTTTATGCTCTGTGGAGTAAGCCTTGCCAATCATAGTCCAGACAGGCCGTAAGCACCCAAACAACCCCTCCAGAAACCCTCCTCCCCCTCCTGTGGACTGGCACTGTAACCTGGCATCATCCGCCTGGCTCCTGACCACAGAGCTGTCCGGCTCCTGCCCCTCTCCCTCTGTCCGTCCTGGGCTCCCATCATGCTCGTGGAGCTTCAGAACACTGTTGGCAAAATGCTCCTGTTGTTCCTCGCCGGGAGTTTGGTTGTGTCCAGCAGACTGCCCGTCTCCTCCACCCCCCGGCTCAACTGCCCCCCCAGTGTCTATGGACAGAACGTTTCGGAGCACGCACTGGGTCGGGGTCAGGTCCATTTCCGGGGTGCAAGGTGTTTCGGCATCGAGGCGGCGAAAAGACGGGGGATCAGAGAGGGGGGAGTTGAAGCCCGAGAGGGACGGTGAGGGTGCACGAGGTTCATGAATGAGAGCCATGAGGGATTGTTGTCCTCAGTAGGATGGAAGAACCAGGAACCTTGACAACACCAAATAGAGAGAGGCACAAATATCACAATCAAAGAAAAGTAAACAATAATTCTATTAGCATTTTGTAGACCTTAAATAAACTATAGAAACTTGGTGGTGTTACTATCAAGCATATGAACTGAAGGAAAATGATAAAGATTGCAATCAGTGCAGAAGAAAAACATGATTAATCAAAATGTTACATACAATTATTCGAAACACTAATCGTCTGAGGCATCTATTGCAACAAAGAATGAACGATCTATCTTATGGATGAAGGAACTGTAGGTATAAGTTATCTCTATCTCTATCTATCGTTATCTCTATGTTTATACCACAGAGTTATGATGTATGTCTGAAAAGATCAAACACAAGTACAGTGACCTGATTCAGGCTGATTCAGGATAGTGAACGAAAGAGCATCCTGTCCGGACCATAAATCTGAGACCCTAAGCTGAACCCCGGTTTTAAAGAGGTGCACAACAAACAACACGACCCTCTTCTCCTTGACTCAATTGATAACCCTAGGTGTCACAGCATCACAAATAATGACACATAGTCCGAGTAACTTCCAAACGTCACCGGCTACTCCACGTAGCAGTTCTGCATAAGCTTAAGCCAGACAAGAACAATGCTCTGTAGGCCACACAGGGACACAATTAGTCATTAACATAGAGCACTATTGGTGAATTGATAAAAAGGATAAGAATAGATGATGGTAATAAGAGTATTCTTGCCGGCTTCCTCAAAGCCCCATGTCTCCAAGGACAATAGCAAATGCAGTCTTAACAGGGAATGAGAGCACACCATTTCCTCTCCCAGCTTTTTCGAATTTACTCATCCTCCGTTTTATCTGAATGACAAGGGCAATGCAGCCTTTTTCCACTCTGCTAAACACTGGAACATTTAATGGTGGCATCATCATGTTCGATTACAATGTTTAAGACAAATCGCAGTTCTTCATTGCTGTTGTGAAAGCCCAACTTGGAGCTTATCAGTTTGTCATGTGTTTTACATATCCTACGCATCCCTGTGATTGTCATTTGGAGTGAAATGCATCTTCGTGCGTATCACATACTATAGTATCAACCCCACTGACACTCCCACTTTAAGTAAAGTGCCTGGCATCTGGTTTGTGAGCTACTGACCAACGACAACAGCAACCCTAATTGTATAAAACCACACTTTTCTGTTCATTCTGGGGAAAAAAGCAAACTCATACATCTAGTCCAAAATGGGAGCAGTAGAAGGGATTCATTAAGAGAGAAACAACCATAAACCTCAAAGTCTGGGTAGTAGGGGGGGCAAAAAAAAAAATCCTCATTATAATTTTCTGCACCAAAAAGAAACCATCTTCTGAGACGCATCTGGTGTAACACATCATCCACATCCCGCTGGTCCCGTCTCCCAGCAGTCTCGCTTTATTTATCTTACTTTCTGCATAGGGAGGAATCAGCTGCGGGAGTGGTGGGAGCGGGGGGAGTGGGCTATATGCTCGGTTCCAGGCCATCGCACCGAGGGTGTCGAAGAGGCGCACCGTCGCTTTTTCCTCCCACCTCAAGTGCGCCAGTTAAGCCTGGCTGACGACGTTTGAGTTACTGTCAAACCCCAAAAAACCTCTTTACATCAGAAGAATAAGTGTGGATGTGATGTTTTCTTAGAAGCCAATATCTGCCTCCCCTCCGAGCCTCCCACTATCAATGAACACTGCCTCGTAATAATAATTCCTACCTCAGTGCAGACGGATGAAGTCCATCGCGGACGATTGTTTCGAGTGTGAGATATTCATTTAATAAAACGCTGAAAAATCCTCCGTGGCGGGTCTGCCTGCTCGGCCAGCATCAACGCTTCCTCCTCTGCATCCAGCGAGGTCCCTCGGCGGAGGAGGGCAGTGTGGAGGTCCGCGTAAAATCCCGTATACGCGGTAAACACGGACACACGGCTCTCCTTAATTCGCTTGTTTTCGCTCCACACCTCCTCCCTCTTTTCCCGTTACCCTCTGAGGGATGCGATCCGTGCACACTCAGGAATTTATACGGCTCTCTCATATAGTAAACACGACCGATGGGGAGAAGGGGAGAGGAGGAAAGATGGGAGGGAGGCAGAGGAGACGTCCTCCAATCCGGTGAGAAAGACGCAGTGACGAGCGCAGTCCGGTGAGACTGGGCCGGAGAGCAGGTACACTGGCTGCACTCCCGGGCGAAAAGGCAGGGGGGTCAGTTGGTATGTGAGGTGATCAAAATGATGTCATTCCCAAAGCATGCAGCATTTGACTGGACAGCACCATGTAAATCCCTTCAAACCCTATTAACGCCCAGTGGATGGAGGACGCTGTAATTGGTGCATAATCTCAGAGCTCCGTCTGCCACGGCCTGGACATGGAGGAAGCACGGCAGTTTTTTTTTTTTTATCATCATCATCATCTCCAATCTCCTCTGACCTATTTCTCTGAGACAGGAGGAGTGGGACAGCACGAGAAGAGGACCTAAATGGGACTTTCCCCAGGCGTGACATGTTTCCCAAAGCGACTTTAATTAACCTCAATGACATAAATTATCACACTTGCTAAAACAACTGTCAACTGTCAGGCCTGTTTCAGGGTCCAGACATGAAAAGCAACTGTATCTAACTTGAAATAAAGCTCCTTAAGGTGTTTCTTTGGCTTGACAGGGAATTCGTTCCAGATGTTTTCGTTATTGTGTATAAAAAACACTAAACTAAAACCAGGATGCCATCTATACAAAAATAAAGAAATCACATAACAAGGTTTAAAAAAAATTACATAAATTACACGTGAAATTGACCAATTAGCTCTTTTAGGGCTATTTTTCTTTGCTTTGAGAGAACAGTGGCAAGAGGTGCAGCTCTTATTTACTTACAAGCAAAGCAATGCATCTGGAATTCAGAGTTTGTGCTTTTGCTAGATAGGAACAACATGTAACAGTTGCTTGTGTGCAACACAAAAGAGAAGCGAACAGAAGTCAGGGAAATCCTGATATAAGGCAGCCCAACCATGAGATCATGAAAGCAGTGAAGACACTCCGTGTGGCTCACATGGATGTTACTGTTTGTGAGTTTGTGGAACAGCAGGAGATCCCGTGTCAGAGCTTTGAATTTACACAGAGTCTAAAGGGTTGCGGCTGCATGACCCTTTTTTGAGAGCTAAATCCAAATCCAGCCCTCATCTCCCAGATTAAGCCCACGTTGAGCTTAAACCCATAACGATGACCTCATCGTGCTGCTTGTAGACGGTGGGGGGAACCCCAACAAGTGCAAAAACTCAAACAAACCTGCGCAAATACGAGCAGTGAAAGCCTTGCTGTACCATCTGCTTATACTTTTGTTGTTGACATCATGAAATATAGATGAAAAGCAGACCACTGTGTTTGATACCATCAGAAATAAAGAAAGAACAGACACAGAAACATTCTGTATCTGCAATAAGCCAAAAAGGACAACAAGAGTTTTCCATGTAACTGGCTGCTTTAAGCAAAAAGAGAAAATAAGCAAAATAACAATAGACATGTTTTTACCTGAGTGATTGAGCAAGCATCCACATTTTCTGCACCATTTTCTAATATACATACACACCGTCAGAGAGTGAGGAATCATAGCAATATCTCTGGATATCTCATCATTTGCATACCAATTTCCAAAGCGAATTTTCAAAGAGCCATGTGTAGAAATACAGTTTATGAATGTTTAATGCTGAGTTTAATATCACATGGAAAAAGAAGTGGGGAAAAAATAAGCTGCTTTTATCATTACTGATTTCTCTTGCTATCCTTCTCTACAATTCCTCTCCTTACTCTGTCTTGAGGCAGTCTGAACAGAGATGCACAAGCTCTTTTCTATTTCTTTTTTCCCGAAAACTTTTTCCATGATTTATTTATTGGAGCTCTCATTTGCAAGACGGCTCCTCTTCAGTGATCTTCAAGCCTCTGAGGATCTCACAACTGCTTCTGATACTGAACAACACAGCTTCTGCCTGTTTTCTGGCTACTCCATCAGAAACAAGAACAGATTGAACGCCGCAGGGTATCATTCCTCAACAGATCAAAAAAACAAAAACACCTTCACTTTTAAAAAATGTTGCACCGCGGATTTTGAATGAACTTTATTAGCCGTAAATATCCAGCAGATCCGTTAATTAAAAAACTAAAATCAGACTATTAAGAGAATGGTGGCCCAGCCCAAAGAAACACAGCGTGGCATCCATCCAAATAGCTGATGTAAAATGTTGCATTGCTTGGCAACGTGCATCATTATCTGTAAGAGGGAATTAACAGAAGCTTGCGGCGGAGAATGTCAAGAGGAATGTCATGTGTGTGCGTGTGCATACCTCTGACTCTGGGTGTACAGTATGCTGTGTGAGGCCCAAAGCCAAGTGGACACAGATTGTCCCAGTCCAGTTAGGGGGGAAGGTGGCAAAGAAAGTGCATGTGCATGTTTGTGAGGTTTAATGTGGACGGCAGAACGAGGGGGAGGGCAGTTTCTGGCTTTTTGGAGAGCCTATTTATGGATTTGAGAGCCTCTTGTGTTACACATTGTCACTTTCACTCATACACAGCTGAATAGGTGTCCGATCATCAAATCCACTCAACTCAATCCCGAAAGGGAATATTAACAAAGCGCCCAAAGGTAATTGGTGTTCCGCTTTAGCATCTCATTGAATGGAAACCGACAGCAGAAAGTCTCTCAGATTTCACATGAAAAATGAAAGGTGAATAAGTGTGTGTCTGCTTTTTTGGGCTACTTATGTGTTCATTTGCAGTGGAGAGTCTGCCGGGGCAGACGGACACTGGCGAATGGTGTCATCAATCAGGCTGCCACGGCTGCATGCTTCATCCATATTGCGCAGTGATGGGATTCATTAAAGCTGGCGCCAACCTGCATTGGTGGGTGGACAGAGGAGGGTGTTGTGGGTGGGGGATTCTCTGTTTCAGCGGATGATCTCACCGCCTGTCTGCGTCTGAGGAAGAGGAGAATTCATTCATGAAGTTCACCCATTCACACACGCGCGTACTCATGCGCATGCACACAACACACACCGACAAGGCGTGTCTGCCTAAAGGGATGCTGAGGAGACAGTTGTGTGAATGAGGCAATGCTCAGGTGAGAGCACTTCAGGATGTCAAGCTTCCTCTATCCATTTGAACACTCTACACAGGCTGGTGTGTTTCTTTCCCTGCGTCATTTGAGCGTCCAAGCATTTTAGTGATATTCAGCTGGAGAACAAATGCATTGTGAGGTGTATTGAAAAAAATAAACTAATCTAATACCCATCCATCAGAGACAGTGTCAGTTTTTGCAATCAGATACATTAGACACATGTCGGATGTTCACTCATTACTGATATCTGGCAAAGAACATAGTCTTTTTAAAGATCTTTTTCTTCTTCCAGCTGCCAAAAAACAGTCGAAAACACTCAAAGCAGAGAGCTGAAATTGTCAGATGTCGTCTCTGGTTGGACGAAAAAAAGAGCTGTGTATAAATCCTTCCTCTTGAATTACTCCCTCATTTGCAACCTCTGGGCACAAAATGTTTGCAGTCCATAACCACAGATTGTAAAGTCTATGTGTATTTTTACAGAATAAAAAAACTTTCAAATGTTCCTTACAAGTTAAAAATAGAAACATTCAGTTTTACAGCTTTCTCAATGTGATAGGTTGATATCCAATTATAGCCTTCCTCAGATGTACCTTGTCTCTTACCTAATAGCAGCTTAGGCAGATATTTCACAGGTTGGTTTCAGCCTATCACATCAGGAATTGATACAATCAAACTTTGTTTGATGATAATTGAAAATATATGACTAACAAGAAGCTGGGATAGGCTCTTCCCTGTGACCCTCTGAGGAATACGTGCTATAGACAAAGGATGGATGGGAGCAAATTCTACAGCCTGCCACAGTAACCCCTTAAAAAACTCTAGAATCCATCTACAGATGCAGGGGGAAGTACAAACTTTCCATATCCACTACTACACAATTGTTTTGGCAAGACTCATTTCATTTGGCTCATCACTGCACACATTTTTTTTAGAAACACTGAGGAACCTGTACAGCCTAAAAAAGACTAATGTAAAATGTCTGTTTCTTAATCAGTTACACGCTTGCCTTTCCTGTTCTTCTAAATAAGAAATTTGGTTCTCCATATGTTTCATGCAGGGAGGTCGCAAACTGTTGGTGTAAAACCTGAAAAGGGGAGCAACTAAAAACTTCTGTAGATTTGGGGAAAACTGTAAAGAAGACTCGATCAGTCATGTTATCCACATTTTACTAATGGAAACTGACAGGATGAAGCCATTTGAATATCTATAGTTGTTTATAGCTACAAAAGTGCCAGATAAGTGAAGAAACATATTGACTCATTCCATCGTTCTAAAATATGCAAAGCCAACCCTTTAGATCAGTCGGTGCTTTGATCTTTCAAGGAGATTATGGACACGTCTGATTTCTTCTGTTGAGAGCCTCTGGCAACAACCCAGTCAGGAGAGGGTTAATAACTATAAAGGGGAGGCTGGAGAAGCCTTCCTGTAAGTCACATGGTCTGTGCCAGGAAGGGGGGGGGGGTGAAAGAAGTTTGGAGGGAGGGAGTGGGTGGATGCAGGGGGAGGAGAGGAGGAGGAGTCAGGAGCATGTTGCCGTAGAAACAGAATCCTCAGTTGGCCTGTGAAGTCAGAGGCGCAATATTAAGCGGTGACTGCACGTAGATGCTGGTGGAACCGTGAGGTAGGTGGGTGTTTGGAGGGGAGGGGGAGGGGGGGGGGG